AGTTTCATTTTTCGTCAAGGTTGAGGATCCTTTGCTGTATTTCTCGTAGTGAAAATTAATGCTTGGTCTCCATGGCATTAGCCCTGATGAATTCCCATGGTTTATTCAAAATGAAACGACTTTCTAACATGCTATTGCTCTTGGGCTGTAAGTTCAGAAGGAAGCATGCAAGTCACTGACAAGAGAGAGAGGGGTGGGCTCTTTCCCAGCCACGGGACTCCCTGCCAGGGTGTTCAGCAGTTATCAAACACTGATCAAATGCTCAGTAGTTTGATTTGCAGAGATTTTAAAATTATTACCAGAAGCAGGCAGTTGGGCTAGACTAGCACTGTCTGACAAAATTACTACGTGAGCCCCAAAATTAAAAATGTCCTAGTACCCACATTTAAAAAGTACAATATGCTGGACTCAGTGGCTCACACCTGTAATCTCAACACTCTGGGAGGCCAAGGCAAGAGGATTGCTTGAGCCCAGGAGTTCGAGACCAGCCTGGGCAATGTGGTAAGATTTTGTCTCTACAGTAAGTCAAAAAATTAGCCAGACATGGTGACGCATGCCTGTAGTCCCAGCTACTTGGAAGGCTAAGGCAAAAGGGTTGTCTGAGCCCAGGAGGTCGAGGCTGAGGTGGCTGTGAGTATGCCACTGCATTCCAGCCTGGATGACAGAGTGAGACTGTGACTCAAAAAAAAAAAAAAGCTGGGTACAGTGGCTCATGCTTGTCATTCCAACACTTTGGGAAGCCGAGGTGAAAGGACTCCCTGACCCCTCATGTTTAAAACCAGCCTGGGCAACTTGGTGAGACCTTTTCTCTACAATAAATCAAAAAATTAGCCAGGCATGGTGGCTTGCATCTGTGGTGTCAGCTACTTGAAAGGCTGAGACAGAAGGATCTCCTGAGCCCAGCATGTCAAGGCTGCGGTGGTCAAGATCATGCCAGTGTACTCCAGCCTGGGTGACACAGTGAGACTCTGACTCAAAAAAAAAAAAAAAAGTAAAAGAGACAAATAACATTGATTTTAATATTTTTATTTAACCCTCATAAAAATTAATTTCAGCATATCAATATACAATCTAAAAACCAGTTATTTTACATTCATTTTGGGGCACTGAGTCTTTGAAATCCAGTGGGTATTTTAACTTTGAAAGTATATCTCAGTTTTGACCACCCACATTTCTTTTCTTTTCTTTTTCTTGAAACAGAATTTCCTTCTGTTACCCAGGCTGGAGTGCAGTGGTACAGTCATGGATTACTGTATCCTTGAACTCCTAGGCTCAGGCAATCTTCTTAACCTCAGTCTCCTGAGTAGGCGCATGCCGTGCCACCATGCCTAGCTAATTTTCTTTTCTTTTTTTTTTTTTTTTTTTG